TTTGATTTGATTTGATTTATTTATTTTTTCAAACATGTAACAACAGTCAGTATGTAATCACACGTAATTCCAGACATATCCACAAAAATATTTTCAATTTGCTTATACCTAGTACATGCTTGAACGGAGTAGGAAGAAGTTAGACTATACTTAGTCTTGCCCCCTAACATCATCTTATCATCATTGGTTTGCAAGCAGTATTACTACAACCATAACCACTACTTGCCTAACCCTGACCCTGACCCGGCATGTTAAGACCCTGTAGGCAAAATAGGTCATCTAAAAATAGACCTAATACTTATTTTTGCCTAATGTCTAAACTTAACCCTTACATAACATCCCCTTTAAACCTCGCCCAGACCCCTACCCTGACCTTAACCACTCCATCTTTAGGGCCCTAAACCCAACCCCTAAAAACCACCCATCCATTATCCCGGCCCTAACCCTAACCACCTAGGGCCTAATGCCTAAACTCAACCCTTACACAACACCCCCTTTAAACCCTGCCCAGACTCCTACCCTGACCCTAACCGCTCTATTTCTATGGCCCTAAACCCAATCCCTAAAAAAAACCACACATCCATTATCCCGGCCCTAACCTTAACCGCCTAGGGCTTAATGGCTAAAGTTAACCCTTACACACAACTCCCCAAGAGGACATAAAAACCAAACACCTACCCTTAATGGACACGCGCATGCGCACACGTTAACAATCCAAAAGAGGAATACACAACTCCCCAGGAGGACGTAAAAACCAAACACCTACCCTTAGTGGACGCATGCATGCGCACATGGTAACAACACAAACTTTAACAAAATAAACGTCAACTGAACCAACACCCAAAACTTTACAAAGTCAACACAAACCACAAAACAGAAACAATCCATTCTCTCGGGGCAGCACACCGTTCCATGAGCCAGAATGACAAGCGTTGGCCCATGCACCCTACTTTGACCCTCCATTCCAAACCGTATAGTCCACGGACGATTACGGGGAGAGTTGAAGAATTCCCCTAACCTAACCATATTGCCACCCTAAAATTCATTGATTTCCCCACAAGGATGGCTGAGTCCCCACAATGTGAGTGTGCGCGCACACACACACACACACACACATACATACATACACACACACACACACACACACACACACACACTTACTCACTGGCCATTTTATTAGGCATGAGGTCATACAGTAGTTAAAGGTGGTGTTATACTGGACTACATTATATTCAGAGGTGTTCCTAATATTCTGACCCTCTCATGTATGTAGCTGGTGAGGACAAAAATAGACACCTCTTAATATAATGTAGTCTAGTACAACACCACTTTTAACTATGACTAATAATAAACGTATAATTGAATGCACACATAACAATTTAAATAAAAATTGAAACTTTTGAACTTCATAAACACAGATGTTAAGGTGAAAGTGCTGTAATGAATTGCATACAATTGTATACAGGTGTACCTAATAAAGTGGCCAGTGAGTGTGGCTGTGAATCAGTTTCACTTGCTTTGGTGCAAATCAAAGTGACAACAGGTGCAATGGAGAGACAAAAGTAAGACAACCCCCCAATAAAGGAATTGGTTTTGCATATGTGGTGGCCACGGGCAAATGGTCTCTAGTACGACCTGTATTCATAGCCCAGCGACATGCAGCTCACCTGGCATTTGTCAGAGAATTAGCCGGTCTCCCACTGGTGTCCTGTTCTCTTCACAGCAGAAAGCAGGTTCACACTGAGTACATGTGACAGGTGTGAAAGAATCTGGAGATGCCATGGTGATACTTATGCTGCCTGTGACATCATCAAGCATGACTGGTTTGGTGGTGGCTCAGTGAGGCTCTAGGGAGGCATATCCTTTGAGGGCCACACAGACCTCCATTCCTTCGACTGGCCCTCACATTCCCCTGACCTAAATCTAATTGCACACCTATGGGACATTATGTATTGGTTCATCCGACACCATCAGGCACCACCGCAGAGTGTCCAGGAGCAGATCAACCAGAACACGATCTGCCATCAGGTGCATGCCCAAACATTTTCGGAGTGCACAAAGGCACGTGGGGACCACACACACACTAAATGACATTATGATTTGTCGTGATGAAATTCTCTCAACTTGGATGAGCCTGTGATTTCCATGTTTTCAGTGTGATTTTGAATCCATGGGTTGATGAGTTTGGTTTCCATTGATCGTTATGTCATTTTGTTCTGAACAAATTATACAATGTACATTAATAATGTTTTCACCTTGAATAAGTTGTTTATCAAGATACAATGTGTGGTTTAAACAATCCCTTAATACTTTTGAGCAGTGTATATAATTTCAATAGATTATACTTTATTGTCAGACTATATGTAAATATACGAAATCTAACTTGTATTCCAGGACACATATTACAAATAAGAAAACACATACTATACATATTCACAACAGTACAACTTATAACAACATTTATCATATCAGACATTATGGAAAGATGGCTGCAGTATAATCATTTTGCATCTGGTGAAGATATTTAGCTTTTCTTTGTAGTTATTTTTGGATCTCTTTGTAGTTGTCTCCTTTGGCTGTTTATTTATTTTATTTTTTTATTTTTTGTAGGAGAACTGTAGGGGCCCCTGGGCCTGTGCCCAGTCATCCCATTCAGTGATCCATCCATGACTAAGTTAAACATAGTAAAATGGCATTGAAAAAGTTTCATTATACTGTATTAATTGGATTTTATTTGCTTAGAAACCTACATTATGTAACTTGCAAAACTACACAGTCTTATGTTGGTATATTGTTTACTTGGCCCTGCTGTTGCCTTGCATGGGGATATGTACGTGCACATTGAGAGCTGTGTCCAGCACACCTGGCCAATAAAGCTGATTCTGATTCTGAGTGGAGCAAAAATCACGTCATTACTAGTTTCCTAAATGTTGTCTTTCCATTCCAGCCTGATGGGATGAAACAGATTAGGGAATTGAGGGAACCTGTGGGTGATAACTGATAACAGCGCATAGATGGCTTTAAAAGTACCTTAAAGAATCTTAAAGTGAACTCCACAGGAGCCAGTGTAATCCAGCCAATGGATGGACAGAGTGGGGATCTTATTGAGAAAGAATCTTATCTTGCCACTAGATGGCACTGTTCCCTTCACTTAGTTCTTCACTTATAATTGAACTGAATTTTAAGTGGTATACCATTTCCTGGATTCTCCCTGATGGGATGATAATACACCCTTACATCATACAATACACCAATTTTCTTTCCTGAAGTAAAAACCTCCAGCAGGCTGCTCACATACAGATCCAATAATGTTTACATAAATATCTGGGGGAAAAAAGCCCAGTCTATATTGTCTGTGTTTATTTATACCTAAAGAGTATAGTGAGGAATGACTGCAATTAAGAAAAGACTGCATTAAATGATGTTGTATTTTGTGTCATCAGCTGCTTGTAGACTGATGAAATATCTGTTCCTGTGTTGTGGAGTGTGACAAGAAACAGCAACAGACTACTGAAACCAGTTTATTACTTAAAGAACAGAGCAGGCAGTAGCAAAAAGGCAAATACAGATTATGTAAATATGAACAGATGATATGCTGTAAACAGTAAAGCCTGGATTAGACTCAGAGCCTCACACAGTGTTACACAGGAGGTGTAGTTTGAGCTACATTTTAGAGCAGCAGCAGCAGCAGCTCCATCTGTGTCTACATGGGAGGCACTGGAGGTCAGCTGCGTTTTGGAAATGTATCACTGTTGTTACGAGTGTAAACACAGGAAATGTCAAATGCAAAATAGACATGATAATTCCGCTCAAACTTTGTGTATAAACATGTGGTCAGAGCCCCAGAGACTTGGAAAGCCCCATTAAGGAAAGCCCCCGTCAGTCAAGTCTCAGGTGTATTTTGTCCCAGACTTCCGAAACAGGTTAATCCAGTCATGAAGACAGATATGAATGACTTTCAGTTAGGCGTTTTGGAACTGTCACAATGTATACTGTAGGACTAAAGGTTTTAATCCGTTTTAATCTCATTATGTTCTCACAGTGCTCATCTCAGTACAATGCATATCAAACCCCTTTCCACTGATGTAACATAATCCTGGTTGCTTTTCCATAAAAGTCTTGACAGCAATCTTACTACATCAGACCTAGTAACATACGTATAGCCTATGTAACACTTTCAATGCAGAAAAAATCTGACCTATGCAATCACATTAATGAACAGGCACAGACAATATTAAGACAACCTCACACATATGGCAAATATTATGTGTGTACTGTGGCTCTCCCTGTTACAGATATGTGAATTAAGCCGTGGGGAATATTAATATAAAAGTAATTTATATGCGAATGACAGAAATCCATGGCTTTAATAGATTGATGAAGCCAGCAAAGTTACATATCCCATGTTGGACAAGGGCTTCAGATTCAGTTGACACACACACACACACACACACACACAGAGAGACATACATCCTTGTGGTCGTCACTTGCAGGGTCCATACATACTGTAGACATATTTATTCTGTAATCATTCTGCAATTTACCTGTTCAAACTGGAACTAAGTTCCACTTCTAAATCAACGTATACAAAAATGTGCAAAAAACAATACATACCATAAAAGTCATGTTGATGTATTAATGTTTGAGAGCAAGACAATCCCAGAGTAGAAACCAGATATGGGAATCTCTGCCAGGTGTTGTGGGGAGGGTTTTTATCATGACACACGCTGATTACAGCATTCATAAACACATACAGGAAAAAGGCAGCACACTGTCTCATACATATATAGGTACTTTAGCACAGATTCATTTGAACTAGGAATTTGTATCACTATCAATTAACAACAACTACAACAACAGCACCAACATGAATCATCTGTAAAGTAATAATGGTGATGATCACGGGGGCACACAGTCCATGCTGGATCCCTGTGTCAACAGAGACAGGAGAGAGAAAGTTTGAATTAATAATAATAATAATAATAATATCTCTTTCCCATGACATCATCTTACCATCATTGGTTTGCAAGCAGTAAATGATTCACTTCTACCACACAAGTATTATACTAAAAAATATTATAGTGTTAACATTCTTACATAATTACGTTCTTTCTAAACCACACAAGTAATATACTAAAAAATTATTACAAAGTGTACACCACACCCACAATTGTCCATGTAATTAATCATTGAGCCTGTTCTTGCATATATCTTGATTGACACATACCTTTATATTTATGTTTAAACTCGTCAATTCTATTACTATTTTTTATGTCCACACTTAAATTATTCCATAGTTTTACCCCACTTATGGAAATACAAAATCTTTTTTTGGTTGTACGTATACTACATTGGTGTGATCCCTATATCCCATCTTATGCACAATTCTTATCGCTCTTTTTTGTAATATATACAATGGTTGAAGTGAGCTTTTGTATGTATTTCCCCAGTTTTCAACGCCATACTCTAAGTATGGTAGAATCAATGAGGAATACAAAATGCGTAGTGCTTTCCCATCCAAAATATATCTAACCCTTGCCAATATTGATATATTTTTTGCTATTTTATTCTGAACATATCTAATATGTGATTTCCAGGAGAATTTGTCATCAATTATGACACCTAGAAATTTAATTTCATGTACTCGTTCTATATTAGCTCCCCCAATTTTCAATTGAAGTTCATTATCTAGTCTACGATTCCCAAATACCATAAATTTAGTTTTATCCAAATTCAGAGATAGTATATTACTATCACACCATTTCTTTATCTTCTCAAGTTCCTGTGAAACCCGTCCAGAGAGTTGCTGTAGGTTTTCACCCGATGCCCATATGGTAGTGTCATCAGCAAATAAAACCACTTTCACTAAATCAGAAACCTTGCATATATCATTAATATATAGTATAAATAATTTAGGTCCCAAAACAGAACCCTGAGGCACTCCACATACAATATCCAGCTCACTCGATTGGTATTCACCCAACTTCACAAATTGACGCCTCTGTGTCAAATAACTTCTAATCCATTTCAGAACCATTCCTCTGATCCCATATTTTTCTAACTTGTCCTCCCACAGCTGAACACCTGGCCAGCATTTCTAGAAATGATTCTTGCCCAGTTGTCCCAGTACCAGTGATACCTGATCCCTTCAACACTCGCCAATCTTTGTTCATTTCATGTTGTCTTTTCAATGTTTTCCACTGACAACACACTTCTCACATCCATCATTGCAATCACATACTTTTAAATAGTGCTCATACTGACTTACAGACTTCATTACTTAAATATATTTGTCTTTATTATTGTTTGCATCTCCCTACTTTGTTGTGGCCCATGGCCATATCCTCACTTAGCCACATTGTTTTTAATCTTACAGGTGTACAGTAAAGACTATGTTGACTTGTCTTCCTTATACATCCTCTGATTGGGGGAGTTTAGATAAGGCCAATTCAATTATGTTTTAAGTCTGTTTGACCTCACTTTTAACTGTTAAGAAACTTGTTTGTGAAATAAAATATGAAAAATAAAATTAACTTATCAATAAAATAGAATGTTAATAAAACAAAATGGTTAAGACATAATGATATCCATAGTTCACATCTGGTGTGTAGAACTTTGTTGTATGTAATCTCTCTCTTTCTACTCGCTGTCAAACAGCAGACTTTTCCTTTAACACTTACTGTGGTCACTGTAGAATGTCAGCCAGCTTCTCCTGGTAATACTCATAGTTTTCTTTGCAGTCCTCCCACAGGTTCAGAGGTTGTTCCTCATTCTCCACAAATGTGTCCCAGATGTAGGAGAAGTCCACAGGCTTCATCACCCTCAGCTTGCAGCCAGCACCATGCAGAGCCTTCAGCCCAGCCTGGATTTCTTCTTCCTCCCACTCAAACAGCCGAGCAGCAAAGATGCTCAGCTTCATGTTTCTTCTGGCCTTCAGCATTTCAGCTATCTTTGTCGCACAAGCGGAACAGGGAGTGGAAGACACATACCTGGGTAGAAGGTAACACAATAAAGAGGAAAAACTGTTCACACATCTCTGACTAACATTTTTATCAGACTAAGATGTATTTCATTTATGACCATAAAGAGAAATACTCAGTCATTGAGTTAGGCTTAACTTTAGCTTGGTCATGGGGACAGAAGATTTTCACCTAAATGCTTGCATTACACACATTGGGCGGGTAGTGTAAAACACATACATATAATTTACCAGTAAGGATGTGTATACTACAAGACACGACAAAAATTTTATAATGGGGAAATATAAAAAATGTAGTGTTTTAGGAGCTTGATTCACCAAGGACTAGAAAGACTACAAATTAGGATACCCTGTCCTGTGCTGTTTTGATTTTTTAATCTTGTTCCTTATAAGGCCCACAACTTTATAGAAGCACAATACTAAATGACTATATTAAATACTGTTACCTGTCAGAAGCTGGTGTTTTAAGAATACTTTTTTTTTTTACCCTGTACAGCTTCACAAGTCTAAAAACTACATGCCAAAATGACATGTCATATCATATGTATAAAATAAATAAAAATGGTAAACAATTGTTATAAATTGTTATAAACATTAAGGCATTTTTAAATGCTTATCATTTTCCTTTCAATGCACTATCCACTATACATGGTCTTCAAAGAGACTGTTAGTACCACTTCAGTCTATTATGACAGACCAAGACATATTATTGCGTTAAGCATGTCAACTGAGTATTTAAGCTTAACACCTGAAAGTAATGATTACCAATATCTTAAGGAATAGTTCTTTATAACTTTCACCTCAACCTTATTTTTCCATGACAATTCAAATATCCACATATTACTACAGATTAGTTTGGATTCACTGGTTGCACTGTTCCTCAATAACCAGCAGAGAACTAGAAAAGTTCAAAGCCAGAGAGTATCACACTACCCCTTTCTGTCAAAGTGAGGTGTGAAGAGGTGATCTATGACCCTTGATGTTGTTACAATTTTTCACACTTCCATTGCATCCTGTTTTCTATAGTTTTATTGTTTTGCTATTGTAATGTATTATGGGTTAGTGTCCGGTTGCCGTAGTTCGGGGGCAAGGATTCTGGGTGTGTACGTTGGCGCCTGAGATACAGAGAAGGTGTACAATTTGGCTGAATAAACCCTCTTGTGTTGGAGACGTGGTGTCCGTCTAAGTAACTGTGCACGAGAATACATAACTATTTTACAGGTTACCCCTGCATATCATAAGGTATTCTCTTTCATGGAAATAGGGTTAGGTATTAGGGAGTAATTTCATGGAGGTTTACCCCAAGTAGTTTTTATAAATATATTGTATAAATATATTCAGAATTGTTGTAATGAAGTAAATAATTCTTTTAATTTGGGAAATGCTGCTGTTTCACACCAGTATAGTTACATTTTAAGGAAGTTTAAGCTTAGGAAAAGCAAGTGTTTCGCCCCCCACCATATGGGTTAGGTTAGATTCAAAGAAGTTCAGCCCGATAGTTTTCTTAGAGGTGTGAATTACATTTTACGTAAAAATAAACATTAATCCAATAAATAGGGTAATTTTTTTATTTAAAAGAATCTAGTGTTTCTCCCTCACAAATAAAGAAGGTTAACCCAAACAGTTTTGGTAGATAGCAATGTAAAAACAAATAATTTAAATTATGATTAAAAATGAATTCCTACGCTTAATTTGGAAGGCCCTCACATTTAACTATACAACAGTTTAAAACCTAACACATCCTTTTTGACAGTTTTAGAGAGCTATATACCAGGTGATTGTGTATTTGAGTGCAGGGTCGTAGTTTGGCAGGCACTGTGTGAAGAAGGCCTCCTCAGCATGAGAGCCACTATGCTCATCCTCCAGATAGCCCTTGTACAGCCCATCTGCTGGGTTTCCTTTATCCAACAGGTAACACAGGAAGGTCTTGTTGCGGCCTGAGGAGTACTCCACATTCTTGAACTGGAACCTAAAGACTAAAGGATCAATCCGGTCCCTGTTGAAGACAGAATAAAGGAAAGAAATGTTGGCATATTAGTTCTCATATTCTGTCAAGATGCAATATCATCAAAGCACCATTTTATTCCTGATAGTCAGTTTTTACTCATTTTCTATGGTTCTAGAGGAAAAAAAATTTCATTCAAAAGTGCATCATCTAGCCAACTACATCTGGTGGGAAGTCACTTCCTACAGGTACCATCCAAGCAGCAATGAGTTATTTGACATGGATATGGGCCACTTTGCCTCCGTGAAGGAAAGGAAAACGGGCTTCATCTTCAAACAGCATGAATCGTATTCATCCTCTCAGTAATGCTTTACTTAAGATAACATTACAGCAAGAACAACAATTATTATTACAATGACCAAAGAATATCAGATAAATACTAGACTAAAATACAAAGTAATTCACAATGAAAACTTATTAATTATCCAGCATTAGCATTCAGTCACTTAGCATCAGCTCACACACAGTCATGCACACATTGCCAAAATGTCAACTGTATTTGACAACAGCACTAAATGTGTGTCTATCCATCATTTTCATTATCTACAGCACCTGTTTGTGTTGTGTGAGTCAAGCAAGCATGAGGGAATCGTGGCTGGATGTCAGGGTGAAACTTGAGCTGTCAGGGTGGGGATAGCATAGCAGCAGCAGACAGAGTTAATTTTACACCATCTGCATGGCTGTGACTGGAATTCCCTTGCATTATTATTAGACTGGGCTTGGTGTGTGACCCAGTTCTTATGAACCAATAGAGGCTTCATCTCTCTCTCTTGTTCTCATCAGTAAATAACTTTCGGACATCAGTATTATTAAATTAATGGAAAGGTGTAAGATGAATGACTGGACGTGATTGTCTTTTGGGTCTCAGTGACTGGGTATTGACCTGCAGTAGTAACTGGACAGAATGTAACAACCATGTTACAGATTACTTTTTTAGACAAGTCATGAAATGCAAAGAAGAAACTCAAACAAAAATGCTAAATAAAACAGTGATGTGTAAATCATCTGTGTCCTGTATCACACTGAAAACAATACAGCAGCACATTATTTGATGTGATACTTCATCAGTTTTATTCTTTGTTCAAAATAAACACTCACTTCAATCCTGATGCGGCAACACATTCCAAAAAAGTTGGGACAGTAAAGCATTTACCACGGTGTGATGTTGCTGTTCCTTTTCACAACACTTAAGACGTTTAGGGACTGAGGACACTAAGTGATAAAATGTGTCAGGTGTCATTTTTCCCCATTTTTCCTGCAAACAAGTCGTAAGGTGCACAACAGTCCTGGGTCTTCATTGACATGATTTGCATTTCAAACTGCACCACACATTTTCTACTGGGGACAGGTCTGGACTGCAGATAGCCCAGTATAGCGTTCATACCCTTTTGCTCCACAGCCAGGCCTCGGTAATGTGGCACTATGAGGTTTTTCATTGTCTTGTTGAAATATGCAGGGGCATCCCTGGAAAAGATGTTGTCTTGAAGGCCGCATATCTTGCTCCAAAATCTCGATGTATTTTTCAGCATTAATGGGTGCGGATGAGAAATGAGTTTCCTCTGGAGAGTGGCTGGGCGCACCCTTAGGGATAGGGTGCGGAGCTCAGTCACCTGTGAGGAGCTCAGAGTAAAGCCGCTGCTCCTCCACATTGAGCGGAACCAGTTGGGGTGACCTGAGCACCTGTTTAGGATGCCCTCTGGATGCCTCCCTGGTGAGGTATTCCAGGCATATCCCTCCAGGAAAAGGCCTCGGGGCAGATCCCGGACATTTTGAAGAGACTATGTCTCCCGGATGGCCTTGGAACGCCTTTGGGTTTCTACCTGAGGAGCTAGAGGAGGTGTGTGGGGAGAGGAAAGTCTGCTCGGGCTACTGCCCCCGCGACCCGGTCTTGGATGAAGCGGATGAAGATGGATGGATGAATGGTTCCATCACAGAAGTGTAAGTTACCTTTGCCAAGGGCACTGACACAACCCCAGACCATGACAGACCCTGGCTTTAGGACTTGTTGCTGGTAACAGTCTGGATGGTCATTTTTGTCTTTGGTCCCAAGCATACGGCATCCATTCCTTCCAAAAGGACCTGAAATACTGCTTGGTCTGACCACAGTACACATTTCCACTGTGTGATGGTCTATCCCAGATGCCTCCAAACCCAGATCCATCGACTGCGCCTCTGGACACTGTTGACATAGCGCTTCCTTTTGGCATAGTACAGTTTTAAGTTTCAAATATTGACTGCACTTCTGGTAAGGTAAAGTATTGCCTCAGACTTAGAGCCACTGCACACATAAGAGCATACAAGAGAAGGAAAAACTGTACACTTCAGATTCTCTTTGTAACTGTTGTGTGTCTTTGACTGAGCTCATCATTACTATTACATTTAATGAGACCGTGTGGCTCATGTGCATTTGTTATGCATTGGTACACTTACTGTAAACTCTACTGTAGTCACTGAACTGAACTCCACATAGAGACGTCAACCAATCAGCAGAGATACGTACACAAATTTAAAAACAGTACAGAAATCACACTGACAGGTTGGAACATTTACTTTCCTCAGCAGCTTTCCAGGTGATGTTGACAGATTTCAGTTTAGACATGAACAAGTCAGAGGGAATGATGTGTGTTATGAAGACCCCTGCAATTGTAGACAAATTGTACCATATAAAGTCCTCACAATGTAGCCATCTCTTCTCCTGCAGAGCCTCCTATAACACTTGCTTTTTATTGAAAAAATGTACATTTCTGTATATACTGTAGGTAAAAATGATAAAACCCTGAAAAAGAAAGATGTTAGAGATGTGTAATACCCTGTATTAATAAAACAATTAGTTGAATGTTTTACTTAAAATGTATTTGTTGGTTTGAATATTTGTTGCCTATACTGTTACATAGCCATTTGTTTGCATATAAAAATGTTGCGCTCTTCCAACATGGTAAGAACATGTTTATTTAATGTTAACGAATTGTCTAGGTTCTGGTGTGCCTTAAAATTGTTGCTGTAAAATTCTGAATATAATTCTAATGTGAAGTGGAGTAGGTCCCCTGCTTTTAAGGAGAAGGCCTCACAGTACTAATGTATTTAGCATTACTCGTGCTCAAAATTTAGAACTGGCATTGGTGAACACATACACACAACAAATAATGTTTTTGTGTCTAAGCCACTCACTTAATGCACTGGTCTTTGAGGAATATGTCTTTTTTTTTTTTATTCCAGGACCTCTTCTCCCCACATTGACATGGTGGGTCCATCATCAAGTGATATTCTGGGACCTGATCATTTACAAATTAAGCACTGTAAACAGACATCGAACTGTAAAGCTACAGTTATATCAGCATGCGTTCTGTCTAAAAATAGAATCAAACCAGCATCTTTTTAAACACTTCTGGTGTAATTAAGTCAGGATTACAAAGATGACACATTTGTAATACTACTAACATTAATTCTAATGTCACTTGGTGTTGATCTCAACATGCCACATCTATGACTCAAAAGAGCAAAGTATATCACATATATTAAGTGCAGAATTCTCCACACCTTTTGTTGAAGCGGTACAGGCTTGTTCCCAGATGACTTAACCAAAACAGCTAAAATGAGCTCCAAGGGGAATTGTTATTAAAGAAGTACATAGATTGTAGTGATTATGGGGAAAAAGCACTACTAAACAGCAAGAATGATGCTCAACTCAAACGTAACAAGAATTTTCCTTCCTGAGCACCCAGGCGCCTCACCAAGCTGTTTTTCTCAGTAAACAGAAGTTTGTTTGGCTGAGTCATCAGCAGCAGTTTACTGGTTAGCTACAGTAGGTTTTGATCTGAATTATATCTATTTTCTGTAATTATCCGTAATTAAACAACCCACAGTGCATCACCTGGACTGTAGGCTAGGTTATAATAGTTTATTATTACAGATTTTACATGTACTTCTCCTCATGTTCCTAAAGTCACACATATCAAATGTTGAAAAGGTTGAGATTCACATCACTGCCAAATGCCACACGGTTCAGCTCTCAGTGTGTGTGATTAGAGAATCTCTGTACTGCTCACTGCTGTGACACAGTAAAAACATCATCAAAAAAGCAAATGTTGAATGATAATGATATAATTCAGCTTTAGCTCTGTCTATGAAACAATGAATAATAATTGGTGATGTGGACCTACCCTGCGATGATTTCAAATGGAGGGAGCTCCATTGGCTCAACCTCAAAATCTCCATTCTGATCATTAGCTGCTGTACCATTGTTAGCTGCTGCCTCTCCATTATCCTCTGTTTTCTGTCCTTCGCTCTTCACTTCTTTCCCATCCTTGGTCATGTCAGCCGCTTCATCTTTTTTCTCTTTTTTTCTCATTGGTGCATGACTTTTGTCAGCCATGGTGAAAAAATAGAGAATCTGTGGATTCAGAAAGTCTGCGTAGAAATAATTATAGAAAAAAGGCAAAGCACTGATGAAGACAGAAGATAGGGGGACAAGACCTGAAACAAAAATGACTAAACAGAAGATGAGCAGAAAGGAAGGGAAAGCCTAGTGAGGGGGAGGAGTGGAATGGTAGAGAGGGCAAGGGAGTGCATAGGAAGTAAGGGCAAGAAGCTAACTGCAGAGAGAGAGAGAATGAATAGACCAGACAGTTCATAAGTGTGTCCATAAAACATGCTGATGTTAAGGTTCATGTACAGTGACGCACTTGTCTATTAGCGACTGACTGGGGACTCATTCCAATATAAGTGAGGGAAAACTTCACACAGATATAATAGTCCAGCAAGAAGACCAAATATTTGAGGGGTGGCTAAACATCTGTACATTATCTTCTATTTGCTTTCAGTAAACATAAATAAAACAGGTGATTTCACAGTCTAGTTGATAGTAACACTGAATACTTTACACAGTTTTTGGCACAAAAACAGCAAGTTTTAAAGATACTGTATTAAGACAGCTTCAAATTTTGCCTATTAGCAGCTTCAATCTAAAAATATCAGTTTTAGCACTAGCCTTTAAAGGCTCATATGGGTCACACCATGGTAGACACACACAGGCAGCTGCAGCTCACAGACCAAGGAGGTCTATTTAAAGACTTTGATAAGGGGAGAGGCACAGCCCCAGCACTTCACTGTGGACACACCAATGTGTGTGCCTATCTGCATTTTGACAGGCTAAGACTGCAGCTGATCTTTTCTACTGATACAGTGGATACAAGCAGTATGTCCTCAATGTTACTGTTGAGCACGGTTGCATACATTGATTGTAGATAAAAGTATTGCTTACTACGAGCTGTAAGATAGCTTGCTTGATGGCAGAAGAGGTTGGTTTGGTTAGACAGCACGAGAAGATGATCTATTTACATATAATATTCTTTTTGTTAATAGATTTAGCTTTAGAAACTTTAGTCAGCTGACAGCCTCAGTCTGTATGTCTGTTACAGAAATCAAGTTGTGACTGGCCTGGTCACATCATACTCTAGATCTTTGAAGGAAGCTCAGATGTCACTGGAGGTCACCTCTTCAGCCTCATGCAGCTTCCTCAGTGTTGTTTTTGCTGTCAGTTCAAGACTGAGCTGACTGGTTAGCACTACAGGAAAAGAAAGAATGTTGCCAAAGTCAGTAGGATTCACCCTATGTAAACCAGAACTGTCTGTACAAAATTTCATGACACTGTATTCTAATTATTGAAATGTTTCAGTCTGTAAAAGTCTGACTGACATTCTGAACAACACGGCCACACAGCTGGCTTTCCTCCACCTGAAGGTCAATATATTCTAAGATGGCTTGTAGAAACCCATATTGTAAATGTGCATAATAAAATTAAAAAAATGTAATAAAAGCTGATAATGTAATAATCTGCCAATAGTGTAATAAAAATCATGAGTGCAAAATATAATATGTTTGTATCAACTCATAATGTAATAACTACACATAACTGAATAAACCTGACTTAACATAACTGCAGCTAGATGATGTAATTGCACTCTCTATACTGTTTAGAGAGTGCATCCAGATCCAAGAATTTTTAAAGGACTTTTCACCATTGTGAAATAGTTTTCAGATTGGTAACTTTCTAGTGTCTCTCTAATTACATTGTGTTACTTATGGGAGATAGCATATGCCACGGATAGGGTAATAGTTTAGTAGTTTAAGTTTTTTGTATTGTTTCGGCTCTCAGAGTGTTTTGCATGATTTCTGTCTGAGTTGAGGGCAAACCCAGGTCTCTATATTTTCAACATGATACATTGACTGTATATGCATATTTTCTATGGCATATGTCCTAAAAGTATTTGTTTATGATTTTAGTGTTTATTTCATTTTTTTTACCTGTAATAAAATTTCAGTTTAATTGGATAATGCTGATAACATCCCAAGACGGCTGGTTCGACAGCACAGGCATCATGTTATTCACCAAGTAACCAGAGATTGCTAATATGTAGTCTCTAAGACCAAGGCAACATGGGATTTGTAGTCCGTCTGCCCTACCACCAAGAACCACCCAAGAAAGCACTCGATAAAATTATAGGCTGTCACACTGTTCACCTAATGTGTGTGTGTGTGTGTGTGTGTGTGTGTGTGTCATGTCCTGTGCTCAACCAGCAGGGCTGGACCCAGCTACCTGCCCTCTGCCCCTGCTAATGTCACCCTCTGCTGGACTTAGTTGAAGAAGAAGTAGGTGCAGATAGTAGCATCAGGTGGTAGCATCAAGTAGCATCACAGGTAGCTGAAGGCAGTCTGAGTTGAAAGAACTCCTACCATGGCACGCTGATGTCTGTCTAAATATGAATTTCTGAAATAATAGGGTTTTCTAATATTATAGGACTGCCTAAAACAATCAGTGGCTTTAGGTAGGGCCCAGAATAAAGAATACTAATGAGGTTAGTAGGAGATCTACCTATTAGGTCTGAATGTATAGTTTAAAACAATTCAGAAAAAAGAGAAAATGAGGGGCTACTCAAAATATAATTAGGTTAGCTGTCTTTGAGCAGCACTTCTGTAGCTCATTCAGTTCGGCAGCCTCTCTCATCATCGAGCTAATTTTTTTCACTTGCAGCAGCAATGGTTGCCATATTGTATTTGAGAGAAACACAAACCAGAGTAGGCTAGTTTATACTTTAGCTGTGGACACTTATCACTTCAGTTTTTCTGCTCTTGTTCTTCCACAGGTTTATCTGCTTGATCTGTGTAACGTTTGTGCAGTGCAGCTTTTATGTGTGTGTGTGTGAGTGACACGTAGTATTGTGCTTGTTTGGTGTGTTTGTTAGATTACATTTGTTATGTATTGGCTTTTCACAAAGTACTGCCACCGACTTAAATGGTAGTAAGAGCAGCGGTCCCTGTCTGCTGGTTCTCAGCTGGAGAATCCACCGCAGCTCCCATGCACCAGCCCAGTACAAGCACAACCCCACCACCACCAACAGTAACAGTTAAAAGGAAGCATTCCCAGAGCTGCAGACACTGTCACCCTGGTGACTTGGGTATCCTCAGCATGATTTGAGACTTCATTCTCCATTGTCCTGTGTTATTACACCATTCCACCATTGCTGCACGACAGAAAAAAGAATCTTGTGATTTTGACTAATGAGAAGGCAGTAGTTTACTGACAGTAATATGTCGTATACTGTGTTTCTAAAGACTGGGTGAAGAAACTCACATAAACAACTTCATATTCAGCTGGTCTCAAGGACTGCCACTTAAATTCATTTCTACTGAAAAAAATGGGACATGCATACGTTCTTAAAAGTGGGAGAAGAAACTTACATAGACTCATGTTATGCTTCATATTCAGCCAGTCTCAAGCTTTTCTGAACTGGAAATGACAGTTCAGCAACTTCCAATAGTTAATGCCAGTCTAATTAATTTCTACTGCAAAAACACTTTTTCAATGGGACACACATAAAATACTATGTTCTCAAAAGTGGGAGAATAAACTTATAAACTTCATATTCACACAGTCTTGAGCTTTTCTGAGCTGGAAATATGAGCCGTACCCCTTCTCATAAGAAGTAGTATTCTGCAACTGGAACCGCCCACTTCCATCTGACTAAATTTTTCACCTATTTGAATTTTTTGCAAAACCCTTTTTTTCTCTCCCTATTTTCCATACTTCATCTAAACTTCACCAAACCTAGTACATCCACTATTTGGAGCACCCCAGAAACAATGGTACCGTCTCCTGCTATTGGCTGCTGAAGATGAGTGGGCGGAGTCAAAAGGTGCCAAATGTAACTCTTTACTACAATGTTCAAATGCGAGTGTAGGACCACACTCTTGAGCGGACCTGTAAAATTGTGTTTACTTTTGCCACTTGGGGGCACTACAGGCGTGGTTTATACTTAAACCATTATAACTGCAGGGAAGACATGAATCTCAACCAAATTCATTATATTTCAGTTAATCTGATGTCTGTGTCTCCCCATAAAATTTCATGCTCAGTCAACACTGGGGGATGTTACAGTTAGCCAAAATATACCAAAGTCTCACTTCCTGTTGCCATTAAAATTTTGATAAGCTATAACTCATCAGTGGATTGCTATATTTCAACCAAACTTGGGGTCCTAAAGGAGTGTGCTGAATTTCATGCAGCCATGCCAATAGGGGGCGCTACAGTGAACATCAATGCATAGCAAAATTTAAAGCTAGCTATATTTGCCAATGTTTCATGTAGGAGGGTCAATCACAATGACACTACACACTTTGTCTTACTTTGGTGTAAAGTAGCTTTTTGATTCAATGTATAGTTTTTGAATGACAGCTGATTAAACTTGATGTTGTGATTTTGACTGTTTTCAGCTAATGCTCCTCCCCTTTCATTGTCAATCACTTCACCATGGTGCCACTTACATCAGTCAGTCCATCTCTCAAATATAAAAGAGTCCTAGACATATACGTTTTCAAAAATCGTTGAGATATTTTTTTTATTGTTGGTTAATTGGATACGTGAATGTTCTGCATGTCCTCCTGGTTCATACGGTCTAAGAATCTCATGTCTATGAGTTTTAATTTTGGAGGACAATAAAGTGCTCCATCTCATCTGTCACACAGTTACTCCATCTCGCTGTCTCTTTCTGTTTTTCTCTCTGTCTTTGTTTTACTTTGTCACTTGCTCTGCTGCAGCATTTTTTTATATTGTGTTATATTATATCCTGATTCAGCCAAATCCAACACCATTCTCTATGTGCTATTTCAACATGCTGTCTTTAGGTCATGTTTCATCACTTATGGATAAACTGTTATGATCGCTCACTCGCAGGAGCGAGGTGAGCAAGCAGGCAGGATTCAGGAGGCAGACGTACAGTTCTGAGATTTATTAAAAGCAAACAGCAGGAGAATGATGACAGTCTTTGAGAAGTGCCAAGACTGGGGATGAGTAGGTTCATCAGGGAAGAGAATTCGCAGGAGGTCACTGAGTGGGGAAGTCAAGGGAGAAGAGTTGGGTGTTGCAGTCTGGGTCAGCAATCTCTAGCAGCATAGAGGACAGGAGAGGATGAGT